CAGCAGATTAAACATGAACATAAACAACAGATTAAACATGAACATAATCACAGTTCAAATGTACGGAAGTCGAGAACCGCCACACTAAAAAAGTTTCTTTAATGCTGTAATCTGAAAATCTCAAATCTCTCTGGAGCTGAGCTAGTGACAGGAAACACATGTTACTATGTCCTGTTTTCAAAATAAAATGCTCACAAAATGTATATATAAACTCAGAAAATATTATAGGTAGAAAGGTGGGACTTTTATTTCGAAAAATCTCCAAATTGATGGAGTCAAAGTGATTTTGTTTCTGTATGTAGACATATACACAAGTAGTACTTTTACTGTCACAGAGTACTTTTACTGAGTGGTATTAGTACTCTTACTGTCACAGAGTCCTTCTACACGCAGTAACGTCCCTGTGTTTCAGACCAGCGCCGTGCTCAGAGTCTCCGCTCTCCCATTGGTCAGCTCGGCGCTGCAATCGATGACATCAGCATACTCTGAGGTCACAAGTCGTTACCCTCTGCTGCGTCTGATTGGAGGAGTCGCTGAGGGCGTCTCCAGCGTCGCCATGACGAGAGCCACGCCCCTTCTTCAGAGTCTGGAGCCGCAGAGTACGTGTGTATAAATACTGCAACTACCACTACTGCAACTACCACTACTACTGATGCTACTGCAACTACCACTACTACTACTGCAACTACCACTACTACTGATACTACTACTACTGCAACTACCACTAATAGTGATACTGCTAATGAAAACTACTAATAGTACTACAGATACTAATACTGGAGCTAAATACTGCTACTGTTAGTGCGAATACTATTAATGAATACTGCTGTAAATAATGCATAATACTAGTACTACTGCTAGTACTCCTCATACTTGTACTTTCTGTCTCCAGTTGAAGTTACCAACAGTTTTGTTCTCGTTGGTCTCGACCGTCTGGAGAAAAACTTCCCGATCCTGAACCAATCAACGGAGGAGGTTCGTTCTCCTGATCAATAACTATTTATTGATCATCAGGATTTATTATCTAATAACTGTGACCAGCTGTACTTTAGTTTGGTAGTTCAGCAACAGCTCCTTCCTGACTAAAGGGGCGTGGCCTCCTCGTCCTCAGGTGCTGGGTCACCTGAAGGACGCCTTGTTCGTGACGCTGGACGACGTGCAGCTGTGGGTGGTGGACGGTCTGGACGGAGCTCTGGACCAGCTGGAGCGTCTGTCCGGCAGCGCCTTGACGGCCGTCCGGCTGCTACAGGACTCTCAGGTGGGACGAGTGGCCGCATCGGGATTGGATGACGTGTTGAGTCGTCTGGAGGACGCCACTGCCCACTACCTGCCTCTCCCCCCCACGCTGCGTGAGTACAGGACTTTCAGAATAAAAGCTGAAAGGTTCTCTGTGTCTTCCTGTCACAAAGAATCAAAGTGTTTGTGTCCGTCAGGTCGTCAGTGGGAGATGAAGGTGCAGGAGTACGAGGACGAAGACGAGGACGAGCCCAGTCTGTGGACCAGGATCAGGAGCCTCCTGCTGAACCTCAGCCTGCAGCTCTACCACCGACTGATGAAGGTCAGAGACCAGCTGGAGAACGCTGTGAGGACGCTGGGGGACGCCGCAAACCAGGTGAGACAGACCCAGACCAGGTGAGACACAGACCAGGTGAGAGAGACACAGACCAGGTGAGACAGACCAGGTGAGATGGACTTCTTCTCCACCTTCCTCTTCCTCTTCTTCATAGTTTCAGGGTCATGAGGGACATTTACAGACATCCTGAAAAACAAGATTTGAAGATCATGAAAGTGATTAAAAAGATGTTTCTGAGTTAAAAATGGATTTGAGAGCGTTTGGTCTAACCTCAACTGTGTGTGTGTGTGTGTGTGTGTGTGAGTGTGGTCAAAAAGCTGTTAGCTCAGGGCTAAGTGAGCTGTTAGCTCGAGGTTAAGTTAGCCTGAACAGACTGTTCTTCTGGTTAGTGGTTCTCTGGTTGGATCAGATTCTATCGGGGGGGCCTCACCCTGGCCCTTTGTATGTCAGCTGTTGACCTCCTCTGTCCCCCTACAGGTGGGTCTGGGTAAGGTCCTGGAGCTGGTGGGCGAGCTGCTGCGGTACCTGCAGGGCCTCCTGGTGGCGTTGGTGTACCGAGCAGAGAGTCTTCGAGAGCTGACCCTCAGCGGGGTCAGAGGCCAGGCCGTCATGTTGACCGAGCTGCTCCCCGTACGTCGGATCAGAGAGCTGCCGGTTCAGATCCAGCAGCTGCTGGGAGACCTGCAGGAACTCGCCAAGATCCTCCTGCAGCTGGTGATCAACGCCACGCCGCTCTACACCATGGTGAGACACCTGAGACACACCTGGTCTTTGTTCATGGTGATTGGACACAACCTCCGACCCTGATAACGTAATTGAAGATAAATTCCAGCTTGTGTCAGATACTAATCAGTAGCCATCAAATTGTTTTTTTCTCTTTCTTCATCTTCTTCTCTTCCTCCTCCTCATTCTTCTTCTTCTTCTCAGGTGAGCTGTTAGCTCGGGGCTAGGTGAGCTGTTAGCTCGGGGCTAGGTGAGCTGTTAGCTCGGGGCTAGGTGAGCTGTTAGCTCGGGGCTAGGTGAGCTGTTAGCTCGGGGTTAGGTGAGCGTTCATTATTGATGTGAAGCGAGGTCTGACAGTCTTTGTGCTAAGCTAGGCTAAAGCCATCCAGAAGCTATCGCTGTAACACGTCAGACTGTTGTATGAACATGTTTTTCAGCTCCAGCAGCCGTCTGCCCAGGAGGTGGAGGACTTCCTGAACCAGGAGGACATAACCCCCGACAGTTCGTCCCGCCGCGGCTCCGCTAGCAGTCTCTTCCTAAAGGCGATGGACGGACGTCCTCGCCGCCGCCGGAGCCTCTACTCCCGCACCACTGCTGGCCGGGGAGGCCCCCAGAGCCCCGACCCCCCCAACGGTCGCCGCCGCTCCAGCGTGAAGGACCTCCTGGCCCCGGAGGCGGAGGAGGACCTCAAGATCCCTTCCGACGTCGGCAGTGTCGTCCACCGCCGGCCATCCGCCACCGAGCTGCTCCTCGCTCCGCTCAAACAGTTCGTCTCTCAGAGCCAGAAGGCCTTCGAGTACCTGAGCCCCAACTCCCTCGATGACGCCACGGAGGAGGACGACGACTCCTAAACGCCACGCTGAGGTCTCGAATCTGCGGCAAACCGTCGCTGGTCGCACCCCCTCTCGACCAATCGCAGCCGCCCGTCTCCGTCCACGACGGTGAGACGTTTCGGCCTCAGCTGGCGTCGGTTTGTTCGTACTTGTTCATCAACGGAGCGATCGGAAAAGTATTTTAGTGATTCATATATCTGCAGGTTTTTATTTTACTTCTACAAAACAAACTTTCAGAGTCTCTCATTTAAACTTAAACAGTTCTTTAACTTTCACTTCAAGAATTAATATATACATAAAAAAATTAAAATAATACATACATCGACTTTAAAAATGTTGACCTCGAGGAGAAAAGAGTTACTTGTTTTTTCCAGAGCTTTCAGCCACTTCTCTTGGCCTACATCCATCACACGGTCATCGAAACATCCACTGATGAAGTCCATGAGATGTGGCTGAAAGCTTTCAAATGTTATTTCCCCCTCAGTGCCACCGTAGTTTGAGAAGGAAGCGTGTAGACTTACTGATGTCAGTTTACTGTGATGAAGTCTTCTTCTTCTCCTTCTTTCCTTCTTCTTCGTCTTCTTCTTCTTTACCGTTGGATCTAAAAATTCTGTTCTTGTTGAGAGATGTGATGAAGAACGTGATGTTTTGGTTGAGAAGAGAATGTTCCTTAAAGATTAAAACATATATTTGATTCATCTGTAGTTTAAAGTCAAACATTTAACAAATATAAATTCCAATATATTCTAATATTTATAATCTAACAGCTGTTTGTGTCTCTGCATCAACATGTTTCAATAAAGCTTTTGGGATCTGCAGCTTCACTTCAGTTTGTTTGTAACAAAGTTAAAAACGGATGTTTGATCAACATCTGCATGTTTAAATATTCTTAAATGTTTTTATTTACTGAATATCAGATGTGATCGAAATATCGAAACATTTTTAATCAGAGCTCCAAGAAACAAACTGAGGATCAATAACTAAACGTTTTTTATCGACTAACGTGTTGATTAAAGAACGACAGTCAGCGCCCCCTACAGGCTGCATTACAACCGGTATCTTCAGTTTCAAGGATCATCCTCTGAGGAGCAGCACCAAAGTTTGCTTACAATGAAAATGCTAACATGCTAAAGTTTAGCAGGTATGTTTAGTGTGTTAGCATGCTGACATTAGCGTACTATCAGTAAAAACAGTGTCCAGCCGATGCTGATTGAATGTCTTTAGATTGTACGGTTCATCCCAACGGTAACTACAGTCCGACTGTTACAATCAGACTTATTACACTACGACTACTGTTACAATTCGATTGTTACACGCCGACTGTTAGACTGAGTGATGTTACACCAACTTTTGTTAGACTGAGTGATGTTACACTCCGACTGTTAGACTGAGTGATGTTACACTCTGACTGTTGTTAGACTGTGAGTGATGTTACACTTCGACTGTTAGACTGTGTGATGTTACACTCCGACTGTGAGTGATGTTACACTGTGACTGTTAGACTGAGTGATGTTACACTTCGACTGTTAGACTGAGTGATGTTACACTCCGACTGTGAGTGATGTTACACTCTGACTGTTAGACTGAGTGATGTTACACTCTGACTGTTGTTAGACTGAGTGATGTTACACTCTGACTGTTGTTAGACTGAGTGATGTTACACTCTGACTGTTGTTAGACTGAGTGATGTTACACTCTGACTGTTGTTAGACTGTGAGTGATGTTACACTCCGACTAATGTTGTAAGAGTTGAAAACGAGTGAAATGAACTAAAAACATGTTTTTATGATGCTCATACAAACTGTCATTACCTCATTTAAAAAAACAAAAGATAAAAACTATAACTCAGACAAACTAACTTATTTTAAACAATATTTATTACAGAAGAAAATGGTAAAATTGTACAAATAAATAAATACAAAAATCAATTCAATGAATCCACATTGACTTTGCAGCTTCACAGTAAGAGAAATCACATTCAACATCGCCAGAACTCCCGGGTGGTGTTTTGTCCTCCATCTTCCTCCTCTTGAACCATGACGCTTCCAGAAGGTGTCTCAGCCTCTTCCTCGTCTCCTTCACTTTGGTGATGGTCACTTCTTGTTCCTCCGATACGACTTTTGGCCCCTTTAGGCCCTCAGCGGCCTGTAGTCCGTCTGACATGTTGGAGTTGACCAGCGGTCCGACGGTAGGTTTCCCTCCATTTGTGTCTCTGCTGCTCGGCGACATCAGTTCTGCAGCGAAACGGCTCCAGATATTCTCCTGCAGTCTGTTCAGAACGTTGTCATCCTGGAAACACCAGACAGGAGGCTGAGTGACCAATCAGCTGTGTTCATGATGAACAATGTTGATTCTTCCAGGTTTAGTTCATCAACATAATCTTCACTAATGAACTTTTATGATGTTTCAAGTGTGAAGTAAAAAGCTGATGTCAGCTGGTGTTGAACAGACTTTATTTCAGACTTCTAAACCAAAACATTCACATTAAAACTCCTAAGAAGACGTCAGTATTGAACTGATAAAGCAGCTTTTTAAAAATGATTTCATATATTATTATCTGTCATTATGCATCACGACTGTCATTGAAACTAAATGTAATTTGAAGTAGAATGAATTCAAAACTAAATTATGTCTAATTCATTATTATGGAATAATATATACTAGATTGATTTAAACACAAAAATAGAAAATAACTCGTATAATTTCAGGGTTTCTTCTTAAAGCTGGAATCAGTGATTTCAACTTCTTTGAACAATAATTGACTTCCTGTCAATCGAATAATCGTTTCATAAATGAGAGAAAAAAAAACTATTTGTTCATATTTCTCCTTTCTTTATCTATGCCAGCGGTCCCCAAACTTTTTAGGCCACGCACGCCCTTCTACATCCCGACCGGGTTCACGCACCCCCAACCCCCCCCCCCACCATAATTTTAAAAAAAAAGCAACAGAGCCTATTTATAGCCGCATAAAAATCGGACCAATGAGAGAACAGTTTGCTCGCGCGTGGCGTTTGTTTACAATATAAAAAACAAAAAAGACAAAAAATCTTCCTGCACCGTGCCTTCGAAAAGGTAACGGACGTCCACCAGAAGATTGGCCACATGTGTAGACTCGTCTACTTGCAGAGAGTACAACTCACTCTTCTTCACGCGAACGACTAATGTAGCCCGGATGTCTTCGGACAAAGCATCGATGCTGCGACACCGTGTTGTGTCACCGGGATCACGACCAACTTGTTTGCTTCTCTCTCTCCATCATACATTCCACCATCTCTTTGGCAGCTGGCGAGCACACGTCTTGGGCGATTGTGTGAGGTAGCCCCTTTCTTGCTATTCTGTGACCAGAAGCCCGCAGTGCGTGTTTTATAGACCCAACATGAATGAGACTGCAGGTGTTTTGGGTTGTTTTGTAACTCCTCCAATTTCGATATAAAATGTAAGGGGCTTTAGACTTGCACTGGCATGCTTGGTGTTCAGGTGGCGACGTGAATAAGAGCTTCAGCCATCTGTTAGCCAGAACCTCACTGTCTCCTAAAAATTACGTTCCCCCAAAACTAAAATGCCTTCTCAATTACGTTTGACCAAAAACGTATTTTCTCCCTGATTACGTTTGTGTTTGACTTATTATGCTGCGTTCACACCAAACGCGTCGCGAATTATTCGCGCGAGTAGATTACATACAAAGTCTATGCACAGACGCGATGAGACTGGCGCGGCGCGAATTTGTGATGGCGCGGCGCGATGGATGCGAATTTGGGGCGCGATTGATGCGAATCCGCGTCAATCGCCAAATCGCCCCAAACGCGCGAGTTGAAATTTTTCAACTTCTGCGAAATATTCGCGTGACGCTGTGGAGCGATAGCCTATCAGCGTTGAGTTGCTCCCCCTGTCATCACTGACTTCCTGCCGTTGTTGAATCAGGAAATAAATCCTGTAGCCGTCTGTGTTCACCCAGAGCTCTACGATCAAATCGGCATCATTACGTAGTTATTCCGGAGTCCCTTTTTGTCGGTTTATTGCCGTTAAATCACAGCAATCAGTTTATTTAGTGTTCATACAGCTGTAGTAAACAGCGACGTGTGGCTCACTAGACACAGTGAACACAGCTCGATAACATCCACGGAGCTCCTCTGGACTATGTTATGAACCAGACATGACGCGTTTAGTTTCCCGGGATATCTGTGACTTCCACAACACGTACTAAGCAGAAATAGAGGTTATTTTTTTCATGGTTAATGGCGGACAGTTGAACGGCTTTCAGGGCGATAAGCCACGCCCCCTCTCCGGCGCGTCCAGCGCGATTCACGCATGAACACAAATCGTCCCTGGCGTTTTGACCGGCGGCGCGATGGACGCGAATACGCGGCACGATGAATTCGCGACGCGTTTGGTGTGAACGCAGCATTACATTGACTTATTACAAATACGTTTCTAATCAACATTTTAACACTAACATATTTTTCCCTCTCCACAACACGCCGCCTGTCTCCAGCAGAAATGCGCTCATCCAGGCCGAGCAACGAGGAACATTACGCGGCTACAATACCTCCACAAAGGCCCGCGTGTAAATTCCGGGAGTAACCGTGACTCTCTTAAGGGTTAGGTTTGGGTGGGAGCGTGGCTTCCTAGTGGAAGTTATGGTTAGGGTTAGATGGATACAAATAAATAAAATATACCTCCATAACACCCCGCCACTCTCGGCTCATACCTCCCCAGCAACGAGGCACATCACCCGGCCACAATACCTCCAGAATGTCCCCCGGGTGAAATCCGGGACTTGGTTTTATGGTTACGAGTGGCGGGCGCTCACCCGTTGGCGCCGGACGCGAGGTCCCCAGCCGCCCCCGCCGTGAGGCACCCCACCGTCAGCCCTCGGAACAGGCCGCGGGGCAACAACTTGTGGGTGGCGGGGTAGAGGCGAGGCAGATCACAGAACAATAATAAAGACTAGAGTATGGCAAAGATATGTTGATGAGAAACGTATTTGTAATACGTCAAACACAAACGTCATCAGGGAGAAAATACGTTTATGGTCAAACGTAATTGAGAATGCATTTTAGTTTTGGGGAACGTCATTTTTAGGAGACAGGACTGCACCATTAGACCACCATTACATGTTTCCTCTCGCGCACCCCCTAGAGGCAGCTCGCGCGCACCACACTTTGGGAATCACTGATCTATGTGATCAATGATCATATTGATTTTTGTAATTTTGCATCAATGTGATGAAGTACTCTGATTTGTGTTTATTGAAGTCACAAACCTGTTCCTAGAGAATGCGGCCATCCCATAATGACACAACGTTGTTTGTATCTGTATTTACCTGCGAGGCGTCTTCAAACAGACTCCAGATGTCACAGAGAAACTCTGCAGCTGTTTGATACCAAGGAGAACGACGGAGAGACAGACGCTCCGACATCAAGATCAGCTGAGACTGGAAAGAAAAAGACGACATCATCATCGTCACCACCACCACCACCATCATCATCATAAGTGCCAGTGAGCCTCCAGCAGCTTCTGTCAGAGCTCCACCTGCTGGTAAATATACTATTATACACAATGATACCCTGTTGCACTAAAAGTACTAATACCACACTGTGAAAATACTCTGTTACTTGTTGCCGATACATTAACATCCTTAAGATTATTACTAATACATTGACATTAATGACATTATTATTTACACATTAACATTATTACTTACACATTAACATTATTAACATTATTACTAATACATTAACATTACTTACACATTAACATTATTACTTACACATTAACATTATTACTATACATTAACATTATTAACATTATTACTTACACATTAACATTATTACTATACATTAACATTATTACTATACATTGACATTGTTAACATCAGGTCATCTCTGGTTAGTGTTATTATAGATCTGAAAGTGTCTTTGTGGAGAAGCTGACCTGAGACAGTCGAGTGCAGCCTTCAACCTTCAGGTACAGCAGCAGCCTCTCACACCTCTGGGATGCAAACAAACCACACGGCGAGTTAAACACAAAACGGATCATTAACTTTATAGGAACAAAACATCACACTAGATACAGATTCAGTCCCGCCCACCCTCCACTTCCCCCTCAGGTCATCACTGTTAGCTTTGTCAGCACTAATGCTGATGTTAGCGCTGCTACACGCTTGCTTAGACATTGCAGTGTTGAGAGCCATATGTAGGAGTAGAAATGCTCGGACATTATGGAAAGAACCCTCGAGAGAAATAACACCTTTCTGTTTGTTACTGTGTCATGTGACTTGTTGCCAGGCGGCAATGGAAACAGGAGTGAGAGTTGGACAGAGGAGTGCCGGTGTTGTCAGAGTTTGGAGAACAGAATGAGACTTCTTTGACACAATAACAGACGAGATCAAGTGAAAGGTTGAGGTCTTATTTCTCTGTCGGGTTCTCTCCATAAGACACTAATAATAAGAATCTGAGCAACAACAAGCACTCTTACTGGACGTACACTGACAGTGACGAGTTCCCCAGAGCAATTGTTTAACTGCTGCCATTTGCAGCGTTCTCCTTCAATACTGGACCAGTTTCTAAAAACGGTGGTCCCCATCAGTCACTTAGACACAGAAACATGGGTAATAGGGTCCAGGTTGAAACATTCTTTCAAAGAGCTCCAGTGAAAGCTGCAATGAGTTTATCCACACAACTTCTCTCACACTTTTTAAAGATACAACCTCTCACCCTCTGGTCCCACAGACTGAGACAAGGACTCTGAGGTCTCGGTGGTCTGTCAGAGCTGAAGGGGTCTGAGCTGTTGAACAGGTCCTGACACAGCGTGCAGATCCACTCTGACCTGTAGGAAACATCACACTGTGATTGGTTGAGATTCACTCGGAGCGTCTCTTTCTGATTTGCTGTAAAGGAATTTCCACAATAAAAGTTTGAGAATGAGAAAGATGATGCGTTCTGAGTAGCTGGTAGGCTTTAATGGGAAACGTGTTCAACTTAGGAGAAAGACACTCACATATTTATTGAACAGACACTAATAATAATTCAGCTCAATGTATAGAGCTCTTTCCCCACAGATGGTTCAGAGGTCTAACAACAATTAATAGTTTAACAGAGTATATATGCACATTATCTCGCGCCCCCCCCCCCCTCCTCTGTCTGCTGAAGCATCCACCCACCAAGACCAGGTCCAAGACTTGGTATTGTTTTCATGGGAAGAGGGTGAATTGGTGAGATCAGGATGACATGAAAATACCTTCGATACGAGAACATTTATTATTTGAGTTTAAATGAGTCCGGTTGGCCTCGTCTGCATATGTTCAGGTTTAAGAGATACAAGTTAGAACTAAAAGAACAACATGACACATTTCCACAACAGCAAGCACCTGTCTGATCCGACATGAGACTAGATATTATATTGATATCGTGACATGAGACTAGATA